CCACAATGACCAAAATAATTGAAGGGGTTCTTTGATGTGTTGAGTCAACTCTTGATGCTCGTGTGTCGCACTTGATCCATGGTTGTTCAAAGAGTAAATGTTGTTAATGGTTCATTTGTATTAAGGGCAATTGTTAGTCCCAATTGATGCTAGTTGAGGTTGCTTTAGGACAGCTGAAAATTTCTTGGATTTTCCCTTAAGGGGTGGGTCTTATTTTGTTTGCTTGAGGACAAGCAAAAGCTTAAGTTTGGGGGAGTTGATAACTAGGGATTTTGACGCATTTTATACTCCTTCTTGCTTATGCTTTGATCAAATATTCATATAAAATTGTCCTAAAAGGCTCACAAGTTGTGCTTGATTGCAGGTTTGATCAACAAAGTGACAAAATGTCGAAGATCGGCTCAAAAGGAGTGAAACTTGCACAAGTACCAAAAATAAGGCAATCTCATGCAGAACAGGCCCAGTGCGGCCGAACACCACTTTGTGCGGTCCGCACTAGAAGATTTAGAGAGCTGATTTCCAGGCTTCAAGGCAGTGCGGCCGCACACCATTTTATGCGGTCCGCACTGAAGACACCGCGACCGCAGTCCATTCTCTGCGGTCCGCGGTGTGAAGATTTAGAGAGATCATTTTTCAGAGTTTTGAGCCATCGCGGTCCGCGGTCAACTTTGTGCGTACCGCACTAGAAGCCTCCGCGGCCGCGGTCCGTGGAGCCCAAGTTCAGAGAGATCAATTTTGAAAGCCAAAGAACAATGCGGACCGCGGTCCATTTTGTGTGGCCCGCACTAACCCAGCAGGGGCATTTTTATCCAGATTTTTCAGCTTAGTATAAATAGATTCTTTTTCCATTTTTAGGTCATCAGATATTGTAAAAACATCAGCTGCGCTCGTGAGGCAACTTTTCTTAGCCATTTTGGGCATTTTTACTTACTTTTTACCATTGAATCTTTGTATTTAGCTTAACAATTAATTAATATGTGTTTATCTTTATCTATTTCTTGCTTTTCTTCTTCTAATATGAGTAGCTAGACCCCATAGCTAGGGTTGTGGCTCAACCCTAGTGTGGGTAATTGATGGGTCTTGAATTTTAAGGCTAAATTGACTATGGGCGTTTGTTATTTGAGCCAATTTCATGGTTAATTTCTGAATTAGTGGTTGCAAATACTAATTTGTGTTGACTCGAGCTCTTCTTGAGAAAGAGAGCCTAAGTCTCCGAAATTGGTCCAACAATCAATTGGGGCATACTCAAGAGATCGATAGCCCCAATTAAAGGGTTAAACCTCGAGAGAGTAATACCCGAATTGAACCCTAAGTTGCTTGTGCAAATTGGCATACCCAATTGGTCTTGAGAAAGCCAATTCGGGCAAAATCACTCGAACCACCGAGAGGTGTAGAGTGGGTAAAGTAGTGCAACGGTTATTTCATACTCCCCAATCATGTCAACTAAGCCTTAGTTTCAAGTACCCGTCATTTGCCCACCTAGGCGGATGTCACTACCCTAGTGCCTTTTAAACCATTAGATACAACTTGCAATATCTATGTCTTAGCTTAATCTAGTTGCATTTTCAATTAGTAGTTTGATAAAAATAGAATCATAAAGAAAATCCAAAAATGAATAAAAGACCAATTAAGAGCACATACGCAATCCTAAACTAGATAGATACTCGATTCCAATCCTAGCTCTCTGTAAATTCGATCCCGACCCAAAATCGGATAAAAGCTATTGCGACCCTCTCTTGCTACTTATTAGTAGTGCGGAGTTGGATGCGATCATGTTGTCCTTTCCTTCATGAGATAGGAGAACCAACTATGGTAAGAAAATCTGGACAATCACCTAACAAGTACAGGGGAATCATTATAGATAAGGTTGGCAGGAAAAAAGGACAGGTATAGAACATTCCTACCATGCGCTATATCCTATCAAAGTTGACCAGATGGCCGTTAGCCTGGGACATTTGACCAAGAGGGTATAGCGCATGCTAGTCACACGCTAGATTTACTTGGTTCTTCGTTTTTTTCGCGTTACTTTGGTTCTTCAGGTTACACTTTGTGTTACTTTGGTTCCGGACTCATATATAAGTTCCCACCATAAATTGGAGAATTTAATAAGTTCAAATTTCAACTGCCGAAGAATTGAATATTGAAGGCAAGAGACACTAATAAATTAAAGCCTATTTCTTTGCCGCTGAAAGAATTATCTGATGGGTTAAAATTAAGCAGAAAAAAGATAGAGGGTTAAGATTTATGCAATCCATCTTACTGAGTCGTGTGATACGGAGGCATGAACGCAAATAATACTGATCATGATGCCCAAATTTGTAATCTCATAAAAGTAGAAAAACAAAATAGAATGACGGGGAGCTGGTTTGGGGAATTAAGTGGTGGGGGCGGGGGGGATTAAAAAGGTTTCTATACCTTTGTGTGTCTATAAATGATAGTATTTCAGTATTTGTAAATAATAATTTAATTAGTATTCGAATATTATAAAATATTTTTGAAAAGTATTTCAAGTGAAATGATTATTTAATGTACTCACTACTTAAAAGCAGTACATCCCAAACTTCTAACCCCTAGAAAGGTGCGTTTGTTGAAGTATGTTGAAACGTTCTTTCTCGAGATATTCGTTGTTGCTACTGTTACTGTTATAGCTGCAATATTGGACGTTCTCTCTTGAAACTATTTTTGCCAAAATGTTGCTTTTAGTTACATATGAGAATATTATTGTCCGGGTCAAAATCTATCTTTATAATATTAACCCAAGATAGTACTAGGGAAGAGTTCCTAAGTCGTCATTTTTCGAAATGGCCCAAGAAGCGGCGAAGTTTGCGGTCTAAGAGTCAACATGGGACGAAGTAGAGGAATCAACAAAGGTTGAGCCCGAGGTCGAGTACTTTTTGATGGAGTTATAACGGCTAGTTCCAAGATAGTAAATTACAGAGAATATTATAGTGGATATTCTCTACACTTGTACTTTTAAGGTTTTTAGGAGCATGTTCCCTAAGTACATAAAAAGATACTATAATAGGGGACATGTGATATTCATTTTTAAAAAACACACTTTGACTCGAGAAAGAGAATCGGATATCATTTGCTTAGATACAAATATCACCTTTTTGTTGAGATTCTTGTCTATACTTTTCCACTAGATCTGTGAATAACTCAAATATTCAATGGATTATCTATCATTCATCATTGTCATAAAGAACATCCACTTATTCCATTCTTTCTTGGGTGACTCATTCATTCTATTTACTTAAATTTCATTTATTGTTATTCATTGATATTGAATGCTACATTATTGCCTCTAATTTCTAGAATATTTATTGAATGCTACTGCCACTGTTTGACTATATCTACATAGTATTTGTTGCTTCTTCAGGAGCCCCATCTAGGGATATTATTGTTAGCTAAGATTAACCCTTATTTATATAAACTTAATTATTTGAACCAAGATCTATATTTTTTGTCCAATAATTTGGCGCCATCTGTGGAATTTTTTTAGGTAAATATTTAGTTTCCCCTAGATCTACAATTAACGCAAGTTACTAACATCGAAAACCCCCGAAACCTTTCATTGTGTATATAAAATCCTACATGGCAGGTAACCAAGGAGAAAGGACAAAAAAACAATTGACTTCCCAACCAACCTCATGAATATCATCAACGATCGGTGTGTAACAGTAGGTGAGGTCACAAAGCCTAATGAGTCTCCTGGGCGAGAAAGGTCACCACCCTGGCACTGCAGCATAACAAAACCCAACGGAAAAGGAGCCTCCACGTCTACAGAGAGGGGACGCCCCCAGTTGTGAAAAAACTCCTTGAGGCATGGATGAACGACACGCTAGCAAGAATCCTCAACAAACCCGCTCCAGGCATGACTGTAGAAACCGCAGCGGCCTGCACGATACAACAAATAGGCAAGCAATGCAACCGACCCACCCTCCAACGACAGGTATAACTCACAACGTTACTGATAGTGCAGGTGACAACGCCCTCGCTGCCATTCTAAAGAGGATGGAAAAAATGGAGAATGAAAACAAGGCGCTCCAAGACCAGATGAAAGAACACCAAGAACGAGTTGACAAGATACCGAGCGCTCCCAAGCTGCTGCCAAAAAGGGATGCCACCAGGTTCATAGAGCAGCCGTATGGCAATGATGCAACCCCACATGCCATACCAAAGACCTTCAAAATGCCACCCTACCTCAGGATATACGATGGAACGACCGATCCTGAAGATCATGTGACTCATTACGTCACCGCCGCGAAAGGCAATGACCTCGCCAAGGAAAAAGTGTCCTCCATTTTGCTGAAGAAGTTTGGAGAAACCCTCACGGGAGGGGCATTAACATGTTATCGCAGCTACCAGCCCACTCCATAGAAACTTTCAAAGAAATGGCCGATAAGTTCGTAACTGCCCATGCCGGAGCCGAGAAGGCCGAGGCGAGAGTAAATGACATATTTTCTATTAAGCAGTCATTGGGAGAGGAACTAAGGGACTTCCTCGCCCGTTTCAACAGAGTAAGGATGACTTTGCCAAACATATCCGAAGGGATGGCGGTCGCAGCTTTTCAGAACGGGCTGAGTAGAGAGGGTTCAAGAGCAACTAGAAAACTATTGAGCCAATTGATAAAGTATCCTACAACCACTTGGGATGAAATCCACAATGCTTATTGTGCCGAGGCCCGAGCAGACGAGGACGATCTCAATGGACTAACTCACCGGCTAACCTCGATATAAGCCGAATCCAGAAAAGAATGAAGAGATAGTACCAGAAGAGATCATCCAATTCCGCGACCTAACAGGGAACGACACCAACCATATGTTAGGGCGGCCGACACACCCTCCCTCGCTATGAAGAAGGCCAGTCCAGACCAAGGATAGGGACTCATCGGAATGAAAGAGGTATGCCTCCTTTATTATTTGCTCACAATTTTTGTGTCTCGCCTACAGAAATAGTCTATGCGCTTAAGAAACACAAAAGTGAAGTGGCTACCAAACATGAGATCAGATCCGAACACTAGAAAGTCCGATGCCCTATGTGAGTTCCACCAGGAACGCAGACACAAAATAGGAGATTGCATCCCCCTCAGACAGGAAGTCATAAACATGTTACGGCAAGGGCACCTCAAAGAGCTTTTAAGCGATAAGAGGAGGACCAACTTCGCCAGAGGACCTGAACATCAAAGCCCATCGAAGCCGCCATCGCCAGCTCGTACCATCAACATGATCATCGACGGCAGCAACGATGCTTCTACCAACATCGTGAATTTTACCACCACTCACAAACTCAAGCGGTCTATCACCCATAAACGGTACGACGGACTCGAAGAAAGTAACATCTTCGACGAGTCGAATGGCAACGGTTTGACTTTCCGTCATAATGATGCCCTCGTTATTACTTTACGCATTTTAGATACCGATGTCCAACGTATCATGGTGGATGATGGAAGCAGTGCATGCATTATCCATCCCCGAGTCCTTACCCAAATGAGGCTCGAGGATAAGTTAGTGTCGTGTTGCATCACGCTAACCGGTTCTAATAATGCAATTGAGCAAACATCCGGGGAAATAACAGTCTCCGTCTTGACAAGCGGCATGACTCTGGAGACAACATTCCACATCATGGACCAGGCCACTACGTACAACGTCATAGTGGGATGACCATGGATACATCCCATGAGAGCTATTCCATCCAGCCTATACCAAGTAATTAAGTTCCCGACACTACGGGGGATATCCAGCATACACAGAGAACAACGCATGTCCGGGGAATGATACCGCATTGCCATGGATAACACGACCATTCAACAGAAAAAGGACAAAGAAAAAGAGATATAGCAATCAACAAGGTCGAGGTTAAAGCAAGAAGAAACTGGAGATGTCATCATGGATCTCGACATGATCAAGGCTGCAGGTTCGACCATAGAAGACCTCGACCCCGTTCAATTGAACCTCAACGATTATAGCAATAAGGCCTATATCGGTTGTAAACTCTAGGAACCAGGGAAATTCAGTCAATTTTTAATAGCTAATGCAAATTTGTTTGCTTCCAGCCAAGCAGATATACCGAGCATTCCAAAAGAAATCAGCACACACACATTAAATGTCGACCCATTCCACCCCTAGTAAGGAAAGTTAGACGTAAACTCAACTCCGCCATCAATGATGTAGTCCACGAGAAGGTGAAAATACTGTTAGCAAATGGCTCCATCAGGGAGTCGAAGTACCCCAAGTTGATTGCCAACATAGTGATGGTCAAAAAGAAAAATGGCAAATGGCGGATGTGCGTGGATTTCACAGATTTGAATAAAGCATGTCCGAAGGATTAGTTCGCGTTACAGCATATCGACGAGCTCATCGACGCAACAGCCGGGCATGAACTATTGGGTTTTTTGGGTGCTTACTCAGTCTATAATCAAATTTCCATGGAAGAAGAAGGCCAGGAGAAGACCACGTTTGTAACCCACAAAGGAACATATTGTTATCGGGTCATGCCGTTTGAACCAAAAACGCGGGGGCTACTCATCAAAGGTTGGTAACTAAGATGTTCAATGACCAGCTCGATACGACCATGGAGGTATATATAGACAATATGTTGGTCATGTCCAAAAGGGCAGAGGATCACATCAATCATTTGAAAGAAACTTTCGACATAATCAAACGATAAGGAATGAAGTTGAACCCGAAGAAATGCACGTTTGGCGCAGCCTCGGGAAAATTCTTGGGTTTCCTGGCGTCATAGCAAAGGATCAAGGTCAACCCTGACCAAATAAAATCTATCGAGGGGATACTAGAACTCTTAACCACCAAAAAGCAAGTCCAAAGGTTGACTCATCATATCATCGCCCTATCAAAGTTCATTCCGCAGTCGTCGGATAGATGTGACAAATTTTTTGGCGTACTCAAGAAGTAAAATGGCCTCGAATGAACTTTCGAGTGCGTCCGAGCTCTACGAGGACTAAAGGCATATATATCATCACCACTGTAACGACCTGACCGGTCATTTTGAGAATTTAAGCTCCGTTCAGTGGCATAAGGTCTTGAGCAGCTTCGTATTATGTGTTATGACTTGCGTACATGGTCGAGTTCAGTTATCGAATGATTTGGAGTCATATGGAAAGAAGGATTTTAGTCTTGGAAGCTTAAGCGGTGAGAGTTGACCGAAATTCTTGAATTTTTTGTAAACGGCTCCGGAATGGGTTTTGGATGGTTTCAACAGTTTTGTATGGTGATTTGGGGCTTAGGAGCGTGTCCGGAAGGTAATTTGGAGGACCGTGGTAGAATTTAGCTTGAATTGGCGAAAGTTGGAAATTTGGCAATTTTGGACGGCAGTGGAACATGAGACATCGGAGTCGGAATGGAATTCTGAGAGTTAGAGTAGGTTCGTAATGTCATTTGTGACGTGTGTGCAAAATTGGAGGTTATTCGGATGAGGTTTGACAGGTTTCGGCATCGGTTGTGGAAGTTTGAGGTTTCAAGTTCATTAAGCTTGAGTTGGTGTGCGATTCATGTTTTTGTTATCGTTTGATGTGATTCGAGAGCTCGATTGAGTTTGTATGGTATTTTAGGACTTTATGGCACCTTTGGTAGAGGTTCCGGTGGCCTCGGGTGTGTTTCAGGGTGAGTTTTGAGCAAGTTCGGGCATTCTCAAAACTCTGGTAGTATTCTGGTACCTTGAAGACGCAGACCTCAGCAGATTTTCGTGAACCGCGGAGGAGGGGGGGCGCTGACCGCATATTTTTGCCGCGGCCGCGCTCCAGGGAAGTTCTGCAGGTCCACTGGTCCGACTTCGGAAGCCTATATCTTTTTATCTACAAGGTGTTTTGAGATGATTCGAAAAAAATTTGTAGCCCTTCGTGTCTAGTTTCCAGAAAGGTAAAGAAGTCATCATTTGGACATCGGTAGAGAAAATTATGGCCAAAATACTAAAGCCTAGCAGTGCAGTCACCGAAAAGTGCGGCCGCACCATTTTTTTCGCAACCGCAGGGCCTGGGAAGCGCGACCGCGCTTGGAATTTTGCGAACCGCGGTGAGAAAGATCAGAGAACACTATATTAACGAGGTTTAGGGTTTTATTTCACATCTTGGACTTTGGGAGCTCGGTTTGAGGCAAATTTTTGGGAGTTTTTCAAGGAAATCATCTGGGTAAGTAATTCTAACTCGGATTTGGTTAATATACATGAATATATCAATGTTTTCATCATTTGATTAGTACTTTGGGGTGAAAAGTTGGGAAAAATTGTACAAACTTCATAAAATAAATTTTTGGGATTTGAATGTCGATTCGAAGCCGGATTTGAGTGAAACTAATATGGTTGGACTCGTGAGTGAATGGATGTTCATATTTTGTGACTTTTACCCAATTCTGAGACATGGGCCCGAGGCCCGGCTTTTGTGTTGACTTTTTGACTTTTGAGTTAAAGCTTAGTATTTTCTTATGGAATTGATTCCTTTAGCTCGTATAGTTTATATCAAATTATTTGTGGTTAAATTTGGGCCATTCGGAGTCGGAAGTCGTGGAAGAAGCAGTCTTATTGATTGAGTGAGCTTGGTTCAAGGTAAGTATCTTGCCTAACCTTGTGTGGGGGACTCCCCCTTAGCATTTTAGTCTTCTATGTTGATTGAAATACGTGTACGCGAGGTGACGAGTGCGTGCTCGGACTTATTTGTGGGAAGTTGGCCTTTAGGGTTCTTAGGTCCTTATATTTACTGTGTATGAAGTTGTTCGGGATATGTTTGAGTTCCTAATTGTTCGTTTCACTCCTACATGCTTCAATTTGAATTAATCCTTAGGATTTACTCCTTTTGCCTATTTGACTCTTATTTGACTTAACTGAAGATTTTGCCTCTCCTATCGTCATGTTATCTTTTCACAACTGCTTATCTTTAATTGAATTTATTACTATCTCATCCTGTAATTGTTTAGTCTTAATTGAGGTTATGATTATCTCCCCGTTGCTTATCCTAAACTGAAATTGTGTGAACTCTTAGTAATTGCCCAACCTTCAAAGAAGTTTAGATGCCCTATATCCTAGTTGACATGTCCTTATTTGTAATTATCTGGCTCGTGTTAGCTTCCTTGTCGTTGGACTGTATATTGTGAAATCATTGTTACGTATTATTTTCTCCCTTGTTGAGCTGTTCTTATTAAGCCTATTATCTTTTACTGTGGTTATTCCTTGTGAATTGGTTCTACCGTGTCTTTGTGATTTAAAGTTCTTGAGTTGATTTACTCGCTGTACTTTGTATTACTGTCATTGTTCATATTGCACTTTTGGTGTTGGTGCACGAGGTTTCTGCCGTGCAGTAGTTGTTATGGGGTTGCACGAGGTTTCTACCGTGCTGTTGTCACTATTGATTTATGCACATGCGACGTGCAAGGTGGGGTTATATATATATGTATTTATATGTGGGTTGCGCATGTGGCGAGACAAGGTGGGAACATTATGATGCACGTGTTGCAAAATAAGGCGGGCACATACTATATTATTATTGCACACGTGGCGAGACAAGGTGGGCTATGTCAGGGATTGATTGAGATGATTTGTGATGGCCTGGGGGCATTCTTGTTGTTGATATTGTGTTGTGGTACGCTCACCTGTATGAGCTTTATCTCGTGAAAGTTGTGAGAAAACACCTTATGTTCTGTCCATTCTTTTCCTTACGCTTTTAGCGGGTATAATTTCTGTTAGAGCACTTGCACAAGCATACACGTAGTTAGACGATCCTATTGCATAAGAAGCCCTCCTGATATTTTGAGTGTAGATGTACACCCTCGCTTACTTGTCATATATGTGAGAGTGGCTCTAGTTAGAAAGTGAGTTGTCACCATGATCATGAGGTGTGATGAGGGCACAGGATGCCAAGTATTAGGGTTCAGGTATTGAGACCCGTAAGCTGTATTTTTGTTGGAGGTTGGTTACTTCATGGAGTTGTTGGCTAAGACCTGATGTAGTTACTGAGTTATTACTTGCCTTTATTGTATTTGTGATTTAGGATTTGGGTTTGTGATTCCGCTTGCTCTTCTATGTCATTATTATGGTGTTACCGCTATTACTTGCTGCTTTCTTTCCTTATTGAGATTGTTGTATTAATAGCCATGTCGTGTAGCCTTTATATTTACTTCGTGTTCTGTTGTTCCTATGATTATATTTGTAGAGTTTATTAGACCAGTGGCTGTCTTGACTGTTCCTCGTCACTGCTCCATCGAGGTTAGTCTTGATACTTACTGGGCACCGCTGTGGTGTGCTCATGCTACTCTTCTGCACATTTTTGTACAGATCCAGGTATTGATCATTAGTAGCTGTGCGGATCATTTCTTAGGAGACTCAAGGTAAACCTGATGCTGCGTTCGCAGGCTTCAGAGTCACCTTCTTACTTGTATTCAACTGTTTTCACTTATTTCCAAACAGTAGTATTTAGAAGTGGTAGCTAACTCTGTAGAGCATGACTTGTACTACCGGGTTTCAGGAACGTGTTTATTGTATAAAGAATTCATTTCAGAAATTTTTTAGATGTTATTTATTATTGTTGTTATTCCGTAAATATTAGGCTTACCTAGTCCTTAAGACTAGGTGCCATCACGATATCCAACAGAGGGGAAATTGGGTCGTGACAACCAGCCCTACTTTCGAAACCCGAACCTGGGGAGAAACTCCTCGT